ACTGAGATTAACTCAATATATTCTAAAGTGCCAATGACCTTTGGATCTTACCAGACATATTTGCAATAATTTGAAAAGAGTGCTTTTGAACCCAAATGACTTTATTGAAATAAAAAATATTGGGCTATATGGAAGAAGTTATTTGAGGGCAAGTAGACCCCATCATCAGCACTCCCACACTCTTCTTGCTTTTTATAGCTTATTGCCTTCCACCTTTGAATCCACAGTTTCTTTAAAACTACCACATCCCCATAGTGATGGAAAGGGTGCTGATTTTGGAATCTACCACACCTATTCGCAAGATACCAACTCTGCCACTTACCAGCTAGGTGACTATTTTAGTTTCTTGTTGCTGTTGTAACAAATTACAACAAACAGTGTGTTAAAACCAACTTATTATCTTACAGTTCTGAAGGTTAGAAGTCTGAAATGGACCGAGATGGGAGGATTGCTTGTGGCCAGGAGTTCAAGACCAGCCTGGGAAACAGAGTGAAGCTCTCTCTATAAAAAAGTAAAAAAATTAGCTGCATGTGGTGGTACATACTCTATGCCTAGCAACTCAGGAGGCTGAGGTGGGAGAATAACTTGAGTCCTAGAAGTTCAAGATTGCAGTGAGCTATGATTGCACCACTACACCACTGCACTCCAGCCCAGGTGGCAGAGCAAGACACTATCTCTGAAAAAGAAAAGAAAAAAAAAAAAAGGATGTGTATTAGTCTGTTCTTGCATTGCTATAAAGAACTACCTGAGACTGAGTAATTTGTAAAGAAAAGAGGTTCAATTGACTCACAGTTCTGCAGGCTATACAGGAAGCATGGCTGGGGAGGCCTCAGGAAACTTACAATCATGGTGGAAGGCAAAGAGGAAGCAGGCACATCTTACATGATGGAAGCAGGTGAAAAAGAGTGAAGGGGGAAGTGCTACACACTTGTAAACAACAAGATCTCGTGAGAACACACTATCATGAAAATAGCAAGGGGGAAGTCCATCTCCATAATCCAATCACCTTCCATGAGACCCCTCCTCCAACATTGGAGATTACAATTCATAGGTAAGATTTGGGTGGGGACACAAACCATATTCCACCCTTGCCCCTTCCCAAATCTCATGTTCTTCTCATGTTGCAAAATACAATCATCCCTTCTCAACAGTCTCCCAGTATCTGAACTCATTTCAACATTAACTCAAAAGTCCACTGTCCAAATTCTCATCTGAGACGAATCAAGTTCCTTCTACCTAAGAGTCTGTAAAAAAAAAAACAAATAAAAACCAAGGTAGTTAATTCCAAGATACAATGGGGATACAGTCATTGGGTAAATACAGGCTCCATGCAAGTCCAAAACTCAGCAGGCCAGTCACTAAATCTTAAAACTCCAAAATAATCTCCTTTGACTCCATGTCTCATATCTAGGCAACACTGATGCAAATGGGTTCCCAAGGCCTTGGTTAGCTCTGCCCCTATGGCTCTTCAGGGTACAGCCCCCACAGCTGCTTTCACAGGGTGGCATTTAGTGCCTACAGTTTTTTGAGATACACAGTGCAAGCTGTTGGTGAATCTACCATCCTGGGGTCTGAGGATGGTGACTCTCTTCCCATAGTTCGACTAGGCAGTGCCCCACTGGGGACTCTGTGTGGGTGCTCCAACCCCACATTTTCCCTCTGCATTGTCCTAGCAGAGGTTCTCCATGAGAGTTCCACCCCAGCAGCAGACTTCTGCCTGGATGTCCAGGCACTTCCATACATCCTTTGAAATCTAGGCGGAGACTGCCAAGCCTCAACTCTTGCCCTCTATTCATCTGCAGGCATAACACCACATAGAAGCCACCAAGGCTTAGGGCTTGCACCCTCTGAAGCAACAGCCTGAGCTGCACCTTGGCATCTTTTAGCTATGGCTGGAGCTAGAATGACCACAATGCAGGGTGCTATGTCCCAAGTCTGCACAGTGCAGTGAGGTCCTGGGCCTGGCTCACGAAACCATTTTTCTCTCCTAGGCCTCCAGGCCTGTAAGGTCTCTGAAATGTCTTCAAGGCATTTTCCCCATTATCTTGGATATTAACATTCAGCTTCTCCTTACTTATGTAAATTTCTGCAGCTGGCTTGAATTCCTCCTTAGAAAATGGGTTTTTCTTTTCTATCACATGGTCAGGCTGCACACTTTCTAAACTTTTATGCTCTGCCTTGTTGATATTCACTCGGGGTGGCTGGCAAGATATTAACTATTAGGAAAAGCTATAGAGTGTAATCTCTAAACTTTTGGAAGGCCAAAAGTTTTTATTGAGGCAGGTTGAAGGCAGCTGCCTCATTAACATTAGCATAAGAAAGAGAGCCAATCAAAGTCCTTCCAAATTTAAGTCTGCTTACCCCACATCCCTTTGTCTCCACTCCGCTTACTTGTGTTAATTTT